CTCAACCTTCAGCCAAAAAATAGACAGGCCTATAAGGTGCACAATAACACCCACTCCCTAGAACAACCATATGAGATCAAAAGGGCAGCATTGCCCAGGGATAAAGCTCACAAGGCAGGAGGAAATAGGAAAGAAGAATGAATGGAAATAGTAAACAGAAAAGAAATAGGAAGAGTGTCGTTACTTTGTGGGGATTGCAATTAACACGGATAAAAATGTGTACGAAATGTTGAATGGAAAACCAATTTGCTCCGTAAAACATTCACCCAAATCACAATAAAAAGTTTAAAAAAAAACTATCTTAAAAAAACTAGTGTACTTAATATTTAATATCGTTCTTATTGTAATTAAGCATGATTTTTCAACACTGAAAATCATTTGATCACCCCAGGGGTGCTATTTTAGGATTGGCATTTCACAAGTCTCATAATTTCCCAGTTTCATGTAAGGACCACGTTAGGTCAGTGCAGAACTTGGTGGTAGCCCATTAATCTACAGATGGGGTTTCCTGATGAGAATCTGACTTTTTTGTGTGATTTATTTGGGTTGTTTAGGTGCCAAGGGCCTCAGAGGAATACCAGGATTCTCAGGACCTGATGGAGATCCAGGGCTCAAGGGTTTCCCAGGAGATGCAGGTCATGAAGGATTCCCAGGACAGACAGGTAAGTCAAGATCGTACTGGATTCAGTTCTTTAATGTTCAGGAAATGGCTTGTGTGTGTGATGAGGATCTCACAGCTCTGTTGTCTCTTAACACTTAGAAATTATCTCAACAAATACTTGATGACAGCTTTTGTACTTGACCATGGGAGATTCAAAATTCTTGACTTGATCATCACTGTCACTATTCTTTAGCACATACTGGCTTTTGCAGAGAACTTCAGATCTCATAGGAAAAAAAAAAAAGCATAGGTATTGCAGATAATGTGTAAATGTTTTTCACTGCTTTATGTTAACCATTCTAAGGGTAGCATAATGTTTTTTTCTTCTGAGATTATTTTTATTATTGGTACAAATAGCACTTTCTTACTTCTTTATCTTGACCTTTCACTGCACTGCCCATTTGTTCTTTAGTGTTCAGCTTGGTGTGGTAAATAGTTCTAACCATTCCATCTACATTTTGACATGGCAAAGAAATATGTAAACAATTAGGTGGCTAAAACAGTTTAAATCTTTTGCCTATATATGAAGAAAAATGAATGTGTTTCCAGTAGTAAGTTGTGGTGAAAAATAGGAAATACCTGCTTTGGACAGCATATTCCACATTGTAGTCAAACATCCCCAAACATGGGTGTCCATGTATGCTTATAACTAAAATTGTGTGAGTTCAGTATCATCACATCACTTTGTACAACACATTGCATCACACATTTTGGGATTGCATTATTTAAATGAAACCATGTTGTTGTTGTTGTTAAGTGCCGTCGAGTCGTTTCCGACTCATAGCGACCCCATGCACAGCAGAACGAAACACTGCCCGATCCCACACCAGCCCCACAATCCCTGCTATACTCGAGCCCATCATCGCAGCCACTGTATCAATCCATCTCGTTGAAGGCCTCCCCCTCTTTCGTCGACCCTCC